TTATTTTTATTTATTTATTTGACAGAGATCACAAGTAGGCAGAGAGGCAGACAGAGAGAGGGGAAGGGAAGCAGGCTCCCTGTTGAGCAGAGAGCCCGATGTGGGGCTCGATCCCAGGACCCTGAGATCGTGACCTGAGCCGAAGGCAAAGGCTTCAACCCACTGAGCCACCCAGTGCCCCAGTATTTGGAAATTCTAATTCCTAGTCTTTTGTACTTTATATTTGCTAATTTAGTTATATTTTTTTAAAAAAGATTTTGTTTATTTATTTGACAGACAGAGATTCACAAGTAGGCAGAGAGGCGGGGGGTCGAGGTGGAGCAGGTTCCCTGTTTAGCAGAGAGCCCAATGCGGAGCTCGATTCCAGGACCCTGAGATCATGACCTGAGCTTGAGGCAGAGGCTTAACCCACTGAGCCGCCCAGGTGCCCCCTAATTTAGTTATAATTAAGCTGTTGTCTTACCTTTTTTTTTTTTTTTGTGATAAAAGCCACATAAAATTTACCTTAACTATTTTTAAGTGTATAGTTTAGTAGTGTTAAATATATTCACATGGTTGTATATAGACTACCAGAACTTTTCATCTTACAAATCTGAAACTACATGCATTAAACAACTTCCCTTTTCTCCCTCACTCCATTCCCTGGTAACTGCATTCTACTTTGTTTCTATGAATTTGATTACTCTAGATACCTCATATAAGTAGAATCATGCAGTGTTTGTCCTTTTTTGTGACTGGCTTATTACTTCACTTAGCATAATATCCTCAAGGTTCATCCATATAGAATATGACAGGATTTCTTTCATTTTAAAAAGGCTGAATAGGTGTGCCTGGATGGCTCAGTTGGATAAGCATCAGACTCTTGATATAGGCTCAGGGTTGAGAGATTGAGCCCTGCTTCAGCTTCCCCGCTGGGCATGGAGCCTGTTTTAAGAGTCTCTCTCTGCCCCTTCCCTCTTGCTCACTCTTGAACACCCTCTCTCTTTCTTTTCCCCCTATAAAAAAACCCTAAAGGGTGAACAATATTTCAATGTATATACTACATTTTGTTTATTCATCTGTCAATGGACATTTGAGTTGTTTCCTCCTTTTGGCTATTGTGGATAGTGCTGCTATGAATGTGGGTGTGCATGCAGCTGTTTGAGTCCCTGCTTTCAGTAATTTGGATATATACCAGGTGGGATTCTTCGGTCGTATATAGTTCTCTTTTTAATTTTTTCAGGAACCTCCATACTGTTTTCTGTAGCAGTTGAATCATTTTAGAATCCTACCAACAGTTTACAAGGATTCCAGTTTCTCATCCTTGCCAAGACTTGCTATTTTCTGTTTTTTTTTTTCGATAGTAGCTATCATAATGGGTGTTATGTGATAACCTCATTGTGATTTTGATTTGCATTTTATTGATTAGTGGTGTTGAGCATGTGTTCATATGCTTGTTGGCTATTTGTTTTTGTTTTTTTTTTTAAAGATTTTATTTATTTATTTGACAGACAGAGATCACAAGTAGGCAGAGAGGCAGGCAGAGAGAGAGGGGAGGAATTAGGCTCCCTGCTGAGCAGAGAACCCTATGCGGGACTCGATCCCAGCGCTGGGATCATGACCTGAGCTGAAGGCAGAGGCTTTAACCCACTGAGCCACCCAGGCGTCCCGCTTGTTGGCTATTTGTATATCATCTTTGGAGATACACTGTTGATGTCCTTTGCTCATTTTTAAATCAAGTTTTTTGTTGCTGTTGCTGAGTTGTAGTTCTTTATATATCCTGGATAGTAATCCATAATTGGATATAAGATTGACAAATATTTCCTCCTATTCTGTTGTCTTTTCATTCTGGTTTTTTTTTGTTGTTGTTTATTTGTTTGTTTTGTTTTGTTTTTTAAGATTTTATTTATTTGTCAGAGAGAGTGAGCACAGGCAGACAGAGTGGCAGGCAGAGGCAGAGGGAGAAGCAGGCTCCCTGCCGAGCAAGGAGCCCGATGTGGGACTCGATCCCAGGACGCTGGGATCATGACCTGAGCTGAAGGCAGCCGCTTAACCAACTGAGCCACCCAGGCGTCCCTCATTCTGTTGATCTTTGATGCACAAAAGTTTTAAACTTTGATATAGTCTGTTTGTCTATTTTTACTTTTGTTACCTTTGTTTTTGATATTTCTGGGAAATCATGGCCAAGTGCAATATCATGAAGATTTCGTGTTTTCTTCTGAAATTTTTATATTTTTAGGTTTACATTCAGGCTTTTAATCCATTTTGAGTTAATTTTTGTATGTGGTATAAGGTAAAGCTCCATCTTCATTCTTTTGCATGTGAATATCCAGTTTTCCCATCACATTTTATTAAATTGATTGCCTTTTCTTTGTTGAATGATTTTGTACCCTTGTTGAAAATCATTTAACTATATATTTTTAAACTTATATAAACTTATATATATTTTATATATAAGTTTATTTCTGGGCTCTTTGTTCTTTTCTGTTGGTTTGTTGTCTTTATGCTAAAACCACAATTGTCTCCTTTTGATATTTTTGCCCCTTTGCTGTGTTATGTTGCTAATTGGAAGTTATTGGTTGTTGTCAAGAATAAAGTGGGACTAGTTAATTACCATGTTATAAAGAATATGTTGGAATAATTTATAAAAAAATAACTTTAGTGTATTCGTTTGGCTCTGTGATTTTTGGAGTAATCAGAAAAATGATCTCCCTAAGGGTAAGGATGATGTTCTTAATTCTTTTTACAGCATTTTAATTGCAGGGTGTGGAGTAATTGGTAATCTCTGAAGATGCAGGGGTGTGGTAAATTTGCTGATTGCAGAAGAAGCCATTATGTTCCACTTAAATATTAGAATAGGGCTGGTGGTAAATGACTCAAGACTCTAGCGTGCAACATTTTCTTGTTGGTTTGTTTGACATTGGCTTTGAAATAAAAAGACACGAATCAATGACTAATTTGCATATGGAAAATTAATCTTCAAATGTGTCTTTTCTTTAAAGGAAGGGGAAGAAGAGAAAAAAAATTGAAAGCTTCTTTGCCTTTTTAGGGCCTCATATGCCTCAAACATGGAAAAGCTAATGGGAAGGGAACTTATTTTTTCTCATAATCTAGTACTTTGGATTCTGTTTTACTGTGTTTCAAGTGGGTTTGCTTCTTGTATTATTTTTCATCACATGTATCTGTAGATTTATTTATATAATTTCTTTTCAGATTCTTCTGGCTCTACCCTGCTTATTCTGCTGCTTACCCTTCCTCTTCCCCAATATAAAACCTGGTTTCTCTCTCGTCTTCGAATCAGTTCTAATTTCTACCTGTTTGTCGACTGTCAAGAAGGATTTTTCTGTCAAGTGGGCTTTTCTCTATTCTGGATAATTATTCTTTCTATTGTCCTAAAACTTAGAGTTTTTCAAAGTTAAGACCCAGTTTTTTATTTCATGAAGCCCTTCTAGATGGCTGTAATTTTCACTTGATTTCTATAAACTTTCACTTTGTTTCATTTAAAATTCTCTGTTTTGCCTGTTTTTTAATCTCTTTCCAATGAATTTAATAAGCCCTAGAGTAAGGACTTTCTGTTATACTTAAATATTCTCTACCAGGAATGTAATATAGTACTAGACATACATTAGGCATTAACTTTTGTCTCCACCCAAACTACCCCTGTTCCCTTATTTTTCTCTTCTCTCTCTTCTCCTCCCCCACTACTTTTTTTTTTTTTTTTTGAGAGAGAGAGAGTGCATGCATATGCATGAGTGGAAGGAGGGCGAGGGGGAGAGGGAGAGAGAGGATCCTCAAGCAGACTTCCATGAGCTTGGAGCCCCTTGCAGGACTTGATCCCAGGACCCTGAGATCATGACCTGAGCCAAAACCAAGAGTTGGATGCTCAACCAACTAAGCCACCCAGGCATCCATTCCCACTTCTTTTCTCCTGATTTAATATGTTAAATTTCTCCTTTTTTGGGATAAAATTTGCTTCATACTATATTTTGAAATAATGTTTTGAACATGTTTTAAGATTTGGATTTCATAGCTGCTTGACGTTTACAAGATACCCTCTATACACACAAAAAAACTAGTAAGAAAAACTAAAAAAAAGTTTTATAATGTATATTATAAAGATCTTCTTTCCTTATTTTACAAAGAGCTTGTACAAACAAATAAGAATAAAAATTAGTAATCTAATAGAAAATATGAGTGAAGGATGTGAAGGCATTTAAGAAAAAAAATAGAAATCAGCTTTCTTGTAGTTAAATGCAAATCACAATGAGGTACTATTTTTTTTAATCAAATGAACAAAAATTAGGTTTTATGATACTTAGTGCTGACAAGAGGTGATGGAGAAATGACCATTTTTATGCATTGTTAGTAGGTTAATCAGTTAGAACTTTTGTCTGCAAGTAATAGAAAACCTGTCTATTCCTAGTAGTTTAAACAAATAGGGACTTATTTTTGCACATAGTGTGAAATTGGCATTGTGTTATTAGTAACTGATAACGTCAGGGCCGGCATTTCTTTCTTTTCCTTGCCAATTCCTTATTGACTGTTTTAAAGACATAGGTTGTTTTAGATATGTTCACATTCAAGGTGATAAGAAAGTGGTAGAACCTACACTATTTGTGACTGCCCCTTTTTGTCAGAAAAGCAAAATCTTTCCCAGAGCTCTGTAGTAGATATCCTTTTCAGTCTCATGATTCCCACATGCAGCTAGATACTTTGTTACTCAGACCAGAAACAGGTTTTACTAGGAAGATGGTAAGAGAGGATATTGGATAGGCAACTGAAAATGTCTTGCCACATGGCTCATGCAATTTTTCTAGAGAAAAATTTCAACATTTTCTCCAATTTAATATACACATATTCTTTAATATACATAGATTCTTTGATTCAATGTTTCCATTGTTCAGAGATCAAGAATGAAGTTAATATATTTCTTTAATAGGTAGCTGGGGCTTTTAAAAGGTGGTTTTCATGATGCCAAATAAACATTTGGAAGATGTTCCTCTTTATTTGTGTTTCCACAGATCATTAACTGAAGACAACATAAACAAATATGCAAAATTCTCACATGGATGAGTACAGAAATTCTAGTAATGGCAGCACAGGCAACAGTTCAGAGGTAGTGGTAGAACAGTCTGCTGATTTCAGTACTGAGATTATGAATGTGACGGAAATGGAACAGTCCCCTGATGGATCTCCTAATGTGAATGCAGCTGCAGAAGAAAATGAAGTAACAAATGCTGTGGACCTTCCAGTGACAGAAACAGAAGCAAATTTCCCTCCAGAGTATGAAAAATTCTGGAAAACTGTAGAAAGCAATCCTCAGGATTTTACAGGCTGGGTATATTTGCTTCAGTATGTAGAACAGGAGGTTAGTAACTATTTAAATGGGATTAGAAGGGACAGATGAATCAAGTAATATCAGATGAGGTTTACTGTTTTGTAATTAAACTTGCCTCTTTTATGATTTTCAAATTAAGTTGAATAACATTAGATATGTACATTTTTAGCTTTAAAATAACTTTTATAACATTTGTACCTATTTGTCAACATTAGCAGAGTCTAATATTTGTAATAATTGGTGTGTATGTGCAAATGTGTATTTAATCACTGAAATAAAAAGTTGCCTTGCTCTCTGACAGAATTACTTCCTTTTGTTTCAAAGGATAAGACTGTAATATATAAGAAAAAGATCTGTGTGTGTATGTGGTTTTTAAATCTGTGAGTTTATTTGAGATAATACATTTGGAAGAAATAATATTTTTGTGACATTAACTTCCAGGATTTTTAAACACCTTCTTTTATTTTCATCAGAATCACTTGATGGCTGCCAGGAAAGCGTTTGACAAATTTTTCATACACTATCCATATTGCTATGGTTACTGGAAAAAGTATGCAGACCTTGAAAAGCGGCATGACAACATTAAACAATCAGATGAGGTGCGTACATTACTGAATAAAATTATCTCCATTAGGTACTGTAAGCCAAATAATAAAACAAAAACTTTTTTTTGTTTTTTTGTTTTTTTGTTTTTTTTGGCTGGCAGTACCTACGATTTATGGTCAAACAATTTTATAGGGTATTTTATTTGCATTTGTCACTCTTGTGGCATTTGTAGCTAATATTTTCTCTCTTTGTTGGCAGGTGCGTTAAACCTCTACAGTTTGTCAAGCTTTGCAGTGCAAGCCTCTGTATTACACTGCAGCTTAACAAGTAGGGCAGGGCTTTTCTCTCACTTACATTTATTTCTCATTTTCCAAACAATATAGTTGGTTTGCTAGTCACATTTGCTACGTCTTATTGCATTTTTGGTCAGACGCTGTCATTGATGCTCTAATGGGTCTGTGCCCTATGGTCTGTAACCCAAAGCCTGCCCACACAACCCGGTCAGAATGCAGGGACTGCTGCGCTTTGAAGATCAAGACTCTGCACGTGGGGATCAGAACATTGCCATGTTCTATCCAACCTCCACCCAAATGGTAATGGTAGATTATTTAAACAAAATTCCAGTAATTAGTATTTCTAAGGTTCACCGGATAACACAGTGTTGCCTCTCTGTTAAGAAATAATTAAATATTTGAAGTACAGTTTGTTGTTTTCTTCTTAGGTATATCGACGGGGGCTTCAGGCAATACCTCTTAGTGTTGATCTATGGATACATTATATAAACTTCTTAAAAGAAACATTGGACCCTGGTGATCCTGAGACAAGCAGTACAATAAGAGGGTATGCTAAAAATTGATACTCAGATGCCTTCAAAATAGAAATAAGTCAAATATTTTGATGTTGACAATAGAACTACTCATGAATGCTAAACTGAATGTTTAACACATATTTCATTTTCACTATTTAAAAAAAAATACATGTAATAAACTGACTCATGATTATAAATATAGATAATAATGTCCTCATTTCACACGCCCCCTTCCTTATGTTCCCAATCCCATTCCCTCCATGATTTATGAATTGTATGTTCTTTCATATATGGATGTGTATACGTGTATGTATTGTACATATTTGTTTTTTTTAATGTAAAGGCTGTTTTGGAATCGCTTCCTATCGTAATTTTTCAAGCATTGCAAAAGTATTTTGTGGTATTGAAGTACTATATTTATTTGACTAAATCCTTATTTATAGGAAATAATCAGTGGTGCTATAAACATGTCTGTATTAGTCATTATTTATGTCGAGCATGTTAGAAATAGAACTTTTGTCAAAGAGAACACAAAACTTTTATCAAATGTTCTTTCAAAAGTGGTCAATTTTAAACTCCCACAGTATATGAAGAGTAGTCATATTTTCCCATAGCTGTGCCACATTATTTTTAACCTCCAGTGATATCTCATTATTTTTGTTTGCATATCTCTGGATTGCTCATCCCAGTTTGCCATCTTTTTGTATACTTGCATCAGCCATTTGCTTATTGCCTGTTCATGTCATTCGCTCATTTTACTTTTGGATTGTCCTTTTCTTATTGATGATAGGAATTTTTTTTTAATGTGTTCTTGGTTTTTATTTTTATCAAAGTATGTGCATATGGTTTAAAAGTCATTGTTAAACTGCTTGTAACAAAAAGCAGTCCCTCTACCCCTCCTCAAATATTTTATCTGTTTCTTATATTATCCTCCATGTTTATAATAGTAACTCTTTACTGCTCTTTCTCTCTCTTTATTACATTATGATTTTGGTATAGTAGATGAGATTTTTAGTTCACTTATACCCTGTCTTCCCATTTCTTACTTTTCCAATATGGATAGGTTTCATAGCCTTTTATTTTTCCTGGAGTAAATTAACCCTTCTAACACTCCTTCCTTTTTCTCACTTGCTTTGTTTTCCTTGAACATTTAAAATTTCCTACCCCCTCCAACAGCTATTTTCAGTTGTCAGTAGTAATAACTGGACTTCCTGCAGTGTACAAATGCTATGTGTGTTTTTTTTGAAGCTAAAAACTGTGTATATCTAGTGTTACTCTGCTTAATCTGAAATTGTGAAAGGGAGTTATACTCAGAAATTTGCAAATTCCATTTTTTACCCTTCCCCTTGGGGGATATCCCTCTTGGAACTTTCTCTTCCATAGTCTGGATTGGTTGCTTTGTTCTGTTTCTGCCAAAGAGCAGTTATTTTGAGATTTCCTCATCATGAATACAGGAGATGCTTTTACCTCTATTGGGTTTCAAGCTCTAATTCTGAGAGTTTATAAGATCCCAATTTTTCTTGGCTGCTGCCTATCTTTAGAGGAGTGCATCCTATAACTTCTTGATAAAAGATGCTTGGGAGAAAAAAAAAATTAAGATTTTGTAAATCTGAAACACCCACTTGATGATCCAGTGGGGTATAGAGTTTTGATTTGGAAGTAATTTTTCCTTAGGGCATTGAAAGCATCTCCATTCTTTTATAGCTTTTGGTTTTGTTAATGAGAAGTATGATAATTCTGTGGATTCCCTTTGTATGACTCGTTTTTCCTCATGGAAGCTTTTAAAATGTTCTCTTTATCTTTGATAAAAGTGCAGTTTTATAATATGCTTTGGTGTGAGTTTTCTTTTTCTAATTCATTGTGCTTACTTAGTGGGCCTTTTCATTTTATGGTGCTCATGTCTTTCTCTTCAGAGAAATGTTATTATTGAGGTGCATGGCTGGCTTAGTATAGCATTGAGCTTTTCATCTTGGGGTCATGAGTTGAGCTCTCTGTTGGGCTCAGAGTTTGCTTGGGCTAGAGTTTGCTTAAAAAAATAATAAAATTAAAAAATCATCATTAGTGTATATATTCTTACGTTGGTAATTCTCTTCCTGTGGTTTTCTCTATTGTTTTTATAGTTGTACATTGGATCTTCTGTTTTAATCATTTAATTTAATTTTTTTCACTTTTTACATGTCAGATTTTTTTGGCTTTTTGAGGTATTTCCTTGACCCTTATATTGGATTTTTAATATCTGCCATCATTTTTTTAATATTTAAGAATCTTTTTTGTTTATTGTTCCTTTTATCTTCCTATTTTTGTTACATGGCTTATATCTTTTTCTTATTTTTAAAAAAGTATAAGAAGTGTTAAAGTTATCTTCTGTTTCCAGCACTGTTTTCTCTGAAGTGTTTTATTTACCTGTTTTCATCTCTGACTTGTCTGATTTCTGCACATGTTAAAGATGAGATTTTAGGGGCGGCTGGGTGGCTCAGTGGGTTATGCCCCCCTGCATCCGGCTGTCTGCTCAGCAGGGAGCCTGCCCCCCCCACCCCCGCCTGCCTCTCTGCCTACTTTTGATCTCTCTTTCTCTCTCTCTCTTTGTCAAATAAATAAATAAAATCTTCAAAAAAAAATAAAAGATTAGATTTTAGGGGCACCTCAGTGGCTTATTTGGTTAAGCATCTACCTTCAGCTCAAGTCATGATCCCAGGGTCCTAGGATTGAGCCCTGTGTGGAGCTCTGCTTGTCAGGAAGCCTGGTTCTCCCTTCCCCTACTTGTGGGTACATGTGCTCTCTCAAATAAAATCTTTTTAAAATACTAGATTTTAATAAACTGAATATAAGCTCTGTGTATTTTGTATGCAGGGTATTATCGGCTGGCTTGATGGGCTTCGCAGTAGGGTGATCAAATGGGCACTCAGGTTTTTGTTGGGAGAATCCCAGTGTTGGTATTCTTACATTTTACTACTGTGCCAAGCAGTTCTTCATTGAAGGATCATCTGATCTGCCTGGGGAATGTATACCTAGCTGCTGAAATCCCATAGCTGGGTAGGAAAGGAGGTGTAAGTTCTCTTACCATTCCTTAAAGCAACCTTCTTGTAAATATCCTGTCTTTAGTTCATTAAATGCTTCTTAATCATAGTTAAGATGATTAACTCTCCTAACTCCTTCCACTTTTGTTAGTTTCTGGTGTTTTAATTTCCTAAATCATTTTGGGATTCTGCAGGGGCAGTAACATGTATTTTACTGTCTTGAAAACCTCAGACACAAACATATACACGTGTGCATGCATGCATAGACACATCCTCTTAATCCTTTATGGATATATTAACATCCTCCAGTTTTGGTACATTTTTAAACTTTGTTTAGAATGTCTATCTTGTCTTTTCATCACTTTTTTCTTAAAGTGGTTCAATCTTTAATCTTTTATTCGTATGTGAGTCTTTTGCCTGTTTTGCCAAAAATATGTAAGTCTGGTATTTTCTTCTAATTTTTTAATAGTTTTTTTTTGTTACTCATTCATCTGGCATCTAAGTCTGTGTCTTTTTTAAGTCATAGATTAACCTTTTATTTTGTCCAACTTTTTTGTGTTGATTTAAAATACCTTTTTATCATATACTAAATTCTCACATGTACATTGTTCTGCTTTCTTGGAACTGTTTTGTGATCCATTTTTCTGTTACCTGGCCAATATCATACTTTTAATCCCTGGAGCTTCCTAATTTCTTTTGATATCTTTCAGGAAAATGTCCTCTGCATTGTCCTTTTTGTATGTTAGCTGAGTGTTAGAATTTGTTTTACCTGTTTCACTTAAAATTTGTTAGACCTTTGATTGGAATTTTATTAAAGTTGTAGATTAATTCAGGTAGTATAGTTCATACTGTTAAAAATCCCTCTTGATTGTAAGATACATTTTGGAAATATGTACCTAAAAGTTTTATCCCACTGGGATATCAAATCCAGTGATTAAAATTACGTACAAAAATCTCTTGAAATGAGTTAGGTTGTTTAAAAACACATGGTGTTATTTTTGTTTTGTTTTAGTAATCTGTAATTTTAGAATCAGAGAGACTTTTGAAAGTTTTAAAAACATATGTATACTTCTCATTACCTTACAAGGCAGTTGGGTTCCTTCTTGGAGAGTTATATTTTGCCAGAAAATTAGTCCTTAAATTGAGATAAAATTTGTCTCTGTCTTCTGCTGTAGATGAATCTGTTTGACAGACATTTCAGATTTCACAAATATTTAAGTATCTGCATTGTCACTCTTGATATGTTTGCAGTGTATACATTTTGCATTGTAATTCTGTGTAAGATAAAATTACATCAAAGTACGTATATTCCCGTTTCCTTACTCTTGAAAAAGTAGCTGTTGTACACTTTTTTTGTTACTCCTGCCTTTTATTCCCTACTTATATAGGAAGCAGTTAAATGTAATTTTGAATTTAGCATGATCTTCTGAAATTTTGAAATGTTTTATTTTTAATTTTTTAAAAATTGTATAACTGACATATATTAGTTTTAGTTGTACAACTTAATGATTTGATATTTGTATTATTATAAGGTACAGAAATATTTTTAAAGTGATTTTATTTTGGAAAGATAACTTAGAGGTGATTTAATTTTTCAGAACTTTCGAGCACGCTGTTCTAGCTGCAGGAACAGATTTCCGATCTGACAGACTGTGGGAAATGTATATAAACTGGGAAAATGAACAGGGTAACCTGAGAGAAGTTACAGCTATATATGATCGTATTCTTGGTATTCCAACACAGCTGTATAGTCACCATTTTCAGAGGTGGGTAGAAAAATCCAATCATTAAAATATATTTGATTATTCAGGTAATTAATTAATATTGAGGATTATAATTCTCTTGAAATGTCATGTGAGATTCTTTTAAATAAAAAGAGGAATAAATTTTCTTACTTGATGATCACAATTTATACACTTTTAAATTTTAACTTTTCCCCATATACTTTAGGAAATGTTTAGGAACTTTATTGTTTTTATTTATTTGTTTTTAAAGATTTTATTAGAGAGAGACAGAAATAGTGACAGCATGAGTAGGGAGGAGAGGGAGAAGCAGGCTCCCTGCTGAGTTGGGAGCCTGATGTAGGGCTTCTGGGATCATGACCTAAACCAAAGACAGACACCAACTGAGCCACCCAGGTGCCTACTGTTTTTAAACACAAGTTTTTCTTTATCCATTTTATAGATGAGGAATAATGGGAATCCTATCTAAGGTGTTTTGGAGTGGTGAAGGAATGAGGAAAATAGAACCCAAGTTTAATTATTCTTTGTGTAAGTGGTACTAAGTTAATAGAGTACATGTCACATAAATATGCTTATTTAAAATTTACTGGTTTACTTGGGGCTCCTTGGCTGGTTCTGTCTGTGGAGCATGTGACTTTTGATCTCAGGGTTGTACGTTCAAGCCCCAAGTTGGGTGTAGAGATTACATAAAAAAAAAAATCTTAAAAACAGAAACTTAATGATATACTAAAGGTACATTCTTGTGATTCATATAACACCTTATACCGAAAACATCTATTTTTGAAAAGATCTATTTTATGTAGTAAATCTAAATCTGTTCGTATTCAGTCAAAAGTAATTTCATTTAAGTTTCCCACTATGATTTTGTCATGAGTGGTATTATTTCATTTTTATGAGTACTGTTAAAACAACTAATTCTGTGTGATGTGATTTCCACATTGTTTTCTGATGTACTCAAAATATCCCACTGCTTAAGGACTCAAAGTCTTTCTGAACAAGAAAGTATATATTGTAAGTATCTGCTGTGTTAATAAATACTTGCATGTTTTTTAGCTACCATATTTTCGACATTTTTGTTAAAACTTTTATAAGTAGTATAGTGTTAGAGCCTGTAAACTTAGTGCTTTTTTTAGTGAGTGAATTTCCAAAATTTTTTTTTAAACTAAAAAAGTTAGAAGACTATGAAGCATCTAAAAAGTTATGTGGATCAATTTGCTGAAGATTAGAGGAAGTTATGCAGATCCAGATTAGAAATAGGAATTGTATAGATCTGAATATATGATCTGTTTTTTACGAAATAGAGGAGATGTCCAGGTTTTTAGGGTATAATGACCTAGGAAGACACTTGATTAAAGACATTATTAGGGGTGCCTGGGTGGCTCAGTGGGTTAAAGCCTCTGCCTTCAGCTCGGGTTGTGGTCCCGGGTTCCTGGGATCGAGCCCCGCGGTCCTGGGATCGAGCCCCGCATCGGGCTCTCTGTTCAGCAGGAGGCCTGCTTCCCCTCCTCTCTCTGCCTGCTTCTCTGCCTTCTTGTGATCTCTGTCAAATAAATAAATAAAATCTTAAAAAAAAAAATAAAGACATTATTAACACAAGGCTTGACATACAGAAGTGCTTGATGCATATTTTTTGAATAAAAGAATACAAAGATTTTAAAAACCCTTACGAGACAAAGAGGATACCTTTTCCTAAACCAATTCTTATGGGACCTACATTTTAGATAAAGTCTGTGATAAGAACTTTATTTTTGGTAAGAAAAATAAAATATAATTAGGAAACACTTGCTACATGGCATTTGCTGTATGTCAGACGCCATTCTGAATGCTTATTTATAACTTACAGCATTATAACTTAAGCATATAACTTACAGCATTTATAATTTATTTAATCCTCACAGTAAGCCAGTGAGGTATATTATTATCCCCACTTTATGGGGATATTATTATCCCCATTTTATGGAAGTAGAGGCACAGAAATATTAAAATACTTGCATGAGGGGCACCTGGGTGGCACAGTCATTAAGCATCTGCTTTGTGCTCAGGTCATGATCCCAAGGTCCTGGGATTAAGCCCCACATTGGGCTCACTGCTCAGTGAGAAGCCTGCTTCTTTCTCTCCCACTCCCCCTGCTTTTGTTCCCTCTCTTGCTCTCTCTCTGTCAAATAAATAAAATCTTAAAAAAAAATAAATAAAGTATTTGCATGAGGTCACAGAGTTAGTGTTTGGAAGCTGATTGAAACATAGATGGTGTGGCTCCAAAGTTCTTGGTATAGTCTCCTCCAGATCTTTTTTTTTTTTTTTTAAAGATTTTATTTATTTATTTGACAGACAGATACACAAGTAGCCAGAGAGGCAGACAGATAGAGAGGTGGAAGCAGGCTCCCTGCAGAGCAGAGAGCCCTATGTGGGGCTCGATCCCAGGACACTGGGACCATGACCTGAGCTGAAGGCAGAGGCTTTAACCCACTGAGCCACCCAGGTGCCCCTCCTCCAAATCTTTTTGTTGTTGTTAAATGAATATCCCAGGAAGCCTGGGTGGTTCAGTTGGTTAAGTGTCTACGTTTGGGTCAGGTCATGATCTCAGGGTCCTGGGATCAAGCCCCGCATTGGGTTCCCTGCTCAGTGGGGACCCTGCTTCTCACTCTGCCCTGCCACCCCTATTTGTGCTCTCTCTCAAATAAATAAAATCTTAAAAAATAAAAGTGAATATCCCAGTAGGTTTTTAAAATTATGTTTATGCTTATAATAGACATTGGTGGATTGCATTACACATACTGCTCTTTAATCTGCACTTTTTTTTTTTTAAATAAATATTTGAGAGATAGAGGGAGAGGGGAAAGAGAATCTTAAGTAGACTCTGTGCTGAGTACGGAGCTCGATGCAGGGCTCACTCTCATGACCCTGAGGTTATTACCTGAGCTGAAATCATGCGTCTGATGCTTAACTGATTGAGCCATCCAGGTACCCCTAATCTCCTCTTTTTCTTTTACTATATTGATAACCACTTTCCTTATCAATGTTTATAGCACACTCACAAGTAGTGTTTGTGTAAATAAATCTTAAGACATAACTGACTGCTTTGAGAACCAGTGGAATGTTTTCTTTTGCCTAATACATTCCTACTTGGTCATTTATTTAGTACTTGTTATATAAAAGATTATATACCATTTAAGTTGTAGAAGTAAAGGCTCAGAGAAGCTATGTGTGAATAGTGTTGGCTCTCAAGCTGGTCAGAAGTGTGGAGGAGGAGGCATGCTTAAAACAAAAGTGTTCAGCAGCACCTGGGTGGCTCACTTGGTTGGGCACAGACTCTTGATTTTAGCTCCAGTGGGAGTCTTAGAGTCATGGGATCGAGACCCAGAGGGGGCTCCCTGCTCAGTGGCAGATTTGCTTGGGATTCTTCTCTCCCTACACCCCTCCACTACTTCGCGCATGTGCACGCTTCCCTCTCTCTTTTTTTCCTCTCTCAAATATTTTAAAATTATAATAATATATTATATATTATGATACATTATTATAATTTTCTCATAATAAAAATCATTTATTTATTTTTATTTTTTTTAAGATTCTTATTTGTCAGATAGCAGAAGCACAGAGAGCTGCAGGCAGAGCAGATAGAGCAGACAGTGGGAGGAACAGGTTCCCTGCTGAGTAAAGAGCCTGATGTGGGAAGCCTGATGTGGGACTTGATCCCAGTGGGATCATGACCCCCGCTGAAGGCAGACGCTTAACCATCTGAACCACACAAGCGTCCCTCAAATAAATAAATCTTAAGAAAAGTGTTGCAAGTGCTGTCATAGAAATATTTCTGTTATATAGGTTTGTTTATTGGATATATACTGATGACATTATCTCTCAGGAAATACGTAATTTAAAATTTTCCTTAGCATGAGAGTTTGTGATGTTGGTTTAACTTCTCAGACCCGGTCCCTGGTAGTTCCTAAGCTCTAGACCTATTTAAATACTGATAATTTCCCAGCAGGCACTGCTCTTTTGTGCTTCTGTGATTTTAATACCTTTTCTACTTCCCATTTGCCTGGTTAATTCATAGTACTCAAAACCATACAGCTTAATGTTTTCTGTGTGAAACTTTAATTTGCCAAAATAGAATGTTCTGTTATTTGTGCCAGCACTTTGCCTCTTTATTTACATTTGTCTTTTTTTTTTAAAGATCTTATTTATTTATTTGACAGACAGAGATCACAAGTAGGCAGAGAGGGAAGCAGAGAAAGAGAGGGGGAAGCAGACTCCCTGCCAAGCAGAGAGCCCGACTCGGGGCTCGATCCCAGAACCCTGGGATCATGACCCAAGCTGAAGATAGAGGCTTAACCCACTGAGCCACCCAGGTGCCCCTACATTTGTCTTTAAAAAAAAAAAATTATTTTATTTATTTTAGGGAGGAAGCAGACATAGGGAGAGAGAAACTTAAGTAGATTCCATGCTGAGCATGGAGCCCAGCCCCGGGCTTGACGTGGGGCTCCATTCTTTAATCCCGAAATCGACCTGAGCTAAAACCCAGGGTCCAGAGGCTTAACCAACTGTGCCACCCAGACACCCCTACTTACTTTAACACTAATAACACTGCTTTGAAAGTATGTCTTTTTTAAACTGCTGTGCATATCTGTCAGTTTCTGAGACTTAATAATTTCTTTTATTCTTAGTATGTAGGAATAGGGCTCAGTATATATTAGACTCTTAGCCATTCTTTATTAAATTAGCTTTATATTAGGAAAGGCTGATGAACGTTTATTGCTTAATATTCATATTTTATCACCATTTGAAATAATTTCCTATATAATGTAACAGTTAATATTATATTTTTTAAAGATTTTATTTATTTATTTGACAGACAGCGATCACAAGTAGGCAGAGAGGCAGGCAGAGAGAGAGAGAGAGGAGGAAGCAGGCTCCTTGGTGAGCAGAGAGCCCGATGCAGGACTAGATCCCAGGACTCTGGGATCATGACCTGAGCCAAAGGCAGAGGCTTTAACCCACTGAGCCACCCAAGTGCCCCATAATGTAGCAATTATTTTAAATTTGTGCTCTGTAAGTAGTCATCAATTTTATATTTTTATTTGTAGCCCAATACTTTTGAGTTTTATTATTTACCTGAATATTAAGTCTGTTCTTTTTTTTTTTTTTTTTTTTTTTTTAAAGACTTTATTTATTTATCTGACAGAGTGAGTGATTGCACAAGCAGGGGGAGCTCCAGAGGGAGAGGGAGAAGCAGGCTCCATGCTGAGCAGGGAGCCCTACACAGGGCTTGCTCCCAGGATTCTGGGATCAAGACCTGAGCCGAAGGCAGCCCTTAACATTATCTGAGCCACCCCAGATGCCCCTAAATCTGTTCATTTTCTTACTATACTTTCTGAAAATTGCCTCCTCATTTCTAAGTTGTTTTTTTTTTAATAAGGCAGTCTGTATTTTCTCTCTCCCAGTGGTGAAATCTGCAAAATCTAGATTTGTTTCCCATGTTATATATATACATTAGTGAAAGCCTTAAAATCCATAAAAATTCAGGTGTGAATAGCCTAAATCAGTTTTAAGAAACTTGGGGAAAAGTCTGTAAGATTGGAGCATAGGGTATATGTACAACTCTGTCTAATAATTAGTTTAAAGAGGTCAGTCTGGGTTAGAATATGAAAGACTTTATCTGAGTAGATTGGATTTTAGCCTGAATGCAGGGTAAATAAACAGAAGTTATTTTGGTAAGAGGGAGATATGATCATGTTTACTATTTTGCTCTTCATATTTACTTTTTAGACATTTTTTTTTTTAAGATTTTATTTATTTGACAGACAGAGTTCACAAGTAGGCAGAGAGGCAGGCAGAGAGAGAGAGGGAGAAGCAGGGTCCTTGCTGAGCAGAGAGCCCGAGGCGGGGCTCAATCCTAGGACCCTGGGATCATGACCCAAGCTGGAGACAGAATCTTTAATCCACTGAGCCACCCAGGCACCCCTCATGTTTACTTTTTAATAACATTTTTGATAGCAGTATTAGGGTTGAGATGGGAATAGTGAGACTAGAGTCTAGAAGCTGTCCATGTTTATCCAGATGAAAAATGAGGAGGATGTGAAGACATATTTAGAAGGTAGAATCAATAGGACCTGATACCCAGTGGAATGTAAGTGAAATGAGGTCAAAGAGATTTAGAAACAGTGGTTGACAGTACCATTAATCAAAATTAGAAATGCTGAGGGTGTTGATTCGTGGATAAAGATGATGCAGTCAGTTTAAGATGTATATAAGTTTCCAAATTTAGATAGTATAACTATTTTAGCTCTTCATGTTGGTGTTTTGATTTAATTTGCATACACACACACACACACACACGCATACATATATTAAAATTAGTGTGTATGGAAAAATGAAATGACTTTTCTTTCCCAAAAACACTCGTAGCTTAAAATTAACCTATTTCTTTGGCAGAGTTTTGGCGATTGGATAGACTAGAATTGAGAAGAAGTTCAAATTTTTTGCTTATTATTTCTGTATTCTGTATTAATAAGATTGATCAGGAAGTAAATGAAAATAGATGAGAACAAAATGCCAAATGGAATCCATGGCAATCCTAACATTTAGGGACTGATAGGAAGGGAGAATCCTCAAAGATCAAGGATCAGTCAGAGACTTAGAGGAAAACCAGGAAGGTGGTAACTCAGCCAAAGGCAAAGAAGGTTCTACAAGGAAAGCATGGTTAAAGGCCTTTAATAGTGAAGACATTGTTAGAGTATAGACTGTACTATGAAATGAGTGTCCATTTAATTTTGCATGTAATTTTGGTGACTTTTATTAGGGCAATTTCATTGGAGCATCTGGTACGGACACAAATTCAGGAGTAATTGGGAGGTGGGGAAGGAACTGCAAACATTTGTTGATCATTTTCAAATGATCATTTATAATTTAAATAGGGTTTATATTTAATTTTAAAGTAATTTTGCATAAATAAGTCAATCTTGCAAAATAGTATTGTGCCATTTTACATGTGAGAAAGCCAAGACTTAAAGAAGGGAAAAACTGGGGCACCTGCTGGCTTGGTTTGTTAAGCGCCTGCCTTTCAGGTCATGATCCTGGGGTTTTGGGATCAGGCCCCCACATCGGGCTCCCTGCTCAAGCAGGGAGTCTACTTCTCCTTCTCCCTCTGCCCCTCCCCCACAGTTGTCCACGTCTGTGTGTGCTCATTCCTTCTCTCCCAAATAAATAAAATCTAAGAAAAGAAAAAACTTGCCCAAAGTCAAATAACTAATAATGTACAGAATTAGGATTTGAATTTATGCCTGTCCATGCTTTCTCTGTTATATTGCAAAGGCATCAAAGAAATGAAGGTGTCATCAAGTGGTCGGTTTTTTATTATAAAAAAGGATAGAAAGGGTTTGGTGTTTCATATCAGACTTTTTTTTTGAAAGAGTACTGTGTAGTAGGAATTGAATGTGGGATCTAAAATTATACTTCTTGGGCATCTATGTGGCTCAGTCATTAAGCGTCTGCCTTCAGCTCAGGTCTTGATTCCAGGGTCCTGGGATCAAGTCTCACATTGGGCTCCCCGCTCTGCGGGAAGCCTGCTTCTCCATCTCCCTCTCCCACTCCCCCTGCTTGTGTTCCCTCTCTCACCCTCTCTCTCTCTGTCAAATAAATAAATAAAATCTTAAAAAAAAATAAAATTATACTTCTTATATAGAGCATTTATTTTTATTGGCTTCTTTTAGATTTAAAGAACATGTACAGAATAACTTGCCTAGAGATCTGTTAACTGGCGAACAGTTTATTCAGCTGCGAAGGGAATTAGCTTCTGTAAATGGACATAGTGGTGATGATGGTCCTCCTGGTGATGATCTACCGTCGGGAATTGAAGACATTACCGATCCAGCAAAGGTAACCAGACTTAGTAAAAAACCCTTCAATGCATGGGAAACTAGACTTTATATCCCTTGACTGTATGTGTTGTATGACTTGTATCTCGTATAAAATTAATTTCTAATTAAGGCAAGTGGGACTTCTTTAGCTATAATGTGGTTTAAATACAGATTTAAGGTAGAGAATCTATTTTACTATGAGACACCTGGAAATAGCTTGGACGAGCTAATAGAATCTGTTTTACTATGAGATACCTGGAAATAGAAGGGACGTTTTGCCCATGCAGTAATTTCCTTGTCCACTTTAAACACACACAAGAAAGTGGTTTATTAGGAAATTCTATTATAAATTTTAGTATTGTTAATTGTACTTTGCACATAATTGTTAACAGTTTAAAACCTACCACTATTCTTAGATTATAAAGTAGGTGTGGATAATATTTAAATGTAAGCAATAATATTAAAAAATTTCAGTATGTAACTTGTGTGATTTAAATTTTTTCTTTTTCTTCCCAAGCTGATTACAGAAATAGAAAACATGAGACATAGAATCATTGAAATTCATCAAGAGATGTTTAATTATAATGAGCATGAAGTTAGTAAAAGGTGGACATTTGAAGAAGGTGTAAGTGTTTTTGTTTTGTAATAGGCTTCAAAATATAAAGGTAGAAATAATGTATTTTCAGTTTTGAGTAATGTCTCTTCTCCTTTTTATTTTTGCCTATTTAGATACCATCAATTTCCCATGATCATTTTTATCATTTTCCATTATCAATTTTAGAATCTTCAAGAATGAATTCAGATTTACTCAAGTTGGAAGATAACCATTTTTTGCAGTTATTCAGTTTTTAAAATCAACTTAATTGAGTTCATACTTTATGTACAACAGAATGTACCCATTTTAGATGGGTAGTAAAATGAGGGTTTCCCTCCACCAATTCTAATTTATTTGTTTTTTTAAAACAATTTTGAGATAAAATGCACTTACCATATATATAGTTCATCCATTTAAAGTATATAATTCAGTAGTTTTTAGTGTATTCACAGATAGGTACTGCCATCACTGTGGTCCATTTTGGAACATTTTCATCACCTCACAAAGGAATCCTTTACTCTTTACCTTTAGCTATCACCCCTCTACTTCCTCACCTGTCTGCTCCACCGCTTATCCCCAGCCCTAAGGTACTACTAAGCTACTTTCTGTTTCTATAGATTTTCCTGTTCTGGCCTTTCATTTGAGTGGAATCATACAGTATGTTGTTTTTTGTTGATTGGCTATGAGGTTTGACTGTATATTCAGATTACAGTGCACCACAGCAATCAGGATATGGAACTAGTCTGTCATCCCAGAAAGTTCCTTTGGCCCCTTTTTCATTCAGTAACCTCCACCCCACTCCTAGCCCTAGGCAATTACTGATTTGTTTTCTGTTTCATAGTTTGTGTTCAGTTTTAAAATACTCAATAAGGAAAAAAATTTACTGGACATAAAATTGTGTAGTGCCATTACAATTACTAAATAAATGGAAAATACATTCTATTTCTTCAATTTGTAAAGTCTAAGAAATTTAATTTTAAAAGTTTTTATTGTGAAGTATGGTGATTAAAATTTTTTTGGTTCACCGTAATTACATACATAATTTAGATAATTCCTATTATTACTATAGTTATACATTTTCTGGTGTTGGTATTGGTTTACTTTCATTCCTATGTCATACTTTTTTTGTCATACTTTTATTGCAGATTAAAAGACCTTATTTTCATGTGAAACCATTGGAAAAGGCACAACTAAAAAACTGGAAAGAATACTTAGAATTTGAAATTGAAAATGGGACTCATGAACGAGTTGTGGTTCTCTTTGAAAGATGTGTCATATCATGTGCCCTCTATGAGGAGTTTTGGATTAAGGTAAGAAAATTAGGTGCTCTGAAACTTGAACATATTATAAACATTGATCTAGTGACTAACCTTTTTTGTACTTCTGTTGAATGTTGTTCATATAACTATATCTGTTGCATTAGGAGATGGTCTGCTTGCAACCAGATTTGACTGCTGCATATGCCAACCTCGTTGCCTCTCTTCGTCCTTCCTTACAGAAACTAGTCTAGTGGTTCAATAAAGGTGCTGAATGGGTTTAAAAATAGAATTTTATCGTTCTGTCACATATTTAATGGCTTGTTCAACTGTAAATTATTCAGTATTTCCTCTGTTTCTGTATGTAGTATGCCAAGTACATGGAAAACCATAGCATTGAAGGAGTGAGGCATGTCTTCAGCAGAGCTTGCACTATTCATCTCCCAAAGAAACCCATGGTGCATATGCTTTGGGCAGCTTTTGAGGAACAGCAGGGTAAGAATGAGGAAATTTGGTTGATATTTTGGGGATTTTAAGTTACTTCAGGAAAAAGTTCTAGGAATTGAGTCTTGAGGGATGGTGTAAAGCAGAGGTCATTAGATTTTTTTCTATAAAGGGCCAGATAGTAAATAGTTTAGGCTTTGCAAGCCATATGGTCTCTTTCCTGACAACTCTGCCATTATAGCCCAGATACATCTGCAGATAATAGATAAACAAATGAGCATGGCTTTTTCCAGTTTTAAATTAAAAAACAAAACAAAACAGGCAGAGGGCTGGATTTAGCCTATGGACTGTTATTTGCCATACCTTGCATAAAGGATATTTCAGAAGTTTAAACAGAAGCATAAACATTTAATTAACATTTCTAGGTAATATTAACGAAGCCAGGAATATCTTGAGAACATTTGAAGAATGTGTTCTAGGATTGGCAATGGTTCGTTTGAGAAGAGTAAGTTTAGAGCGACGGCATGGAAATATGGAAGAAGCTGAACATTTGCTTCAGGATGCCATTAAGAATGCCAGATCAAATAATGAATCATCGTTTTATGCTATCAAACTAGCTCGGCATCTTTTCAAAATACAAAAAAACCTTCCAAAATCAAGAAAGGTGCTTTTGGAAGCAATCGAAAGAGACAAAGTATGTATTTGTATTTTAGAATATCTTTCATAAAAAACAAAAACAACCCCAAAAACAGTGCTTCTTGTTTGTTTTCTCATTTTGGCAACTATGATGAAAGATTTGGTCTGTATGTAATATATTTCGTTACTAAATGAAGACAACAGTCCCTCTAAACTGATGTTGCCATTCTTCAAAAATTTTTTGAATTATTAGGAATTAAAGGTTGAGAAAATTAAAATTATTGGAATAAAAATGGTTGCAGACATTGTGACTCGTTCTGTTTCTCTTATGTTTAGAAATTTTACAGCAGATTTACTGATTATTTTAAGTAGAGGAGGACCTGGAAGAATACCTTATAATCAAAAGCATGATAGTTGTCTACGTTTTATCTGCTATACCAGTGAGATTCTCCTTTTCCAAAGTATTTTACTCTGTCAGTTGATAAAAGGCAGTGTATATGATATTTCGAAGTTTTTAAGGATTTTCAGCTAATACCAGCTCTGTTTAAGACAGAGGTCTGTAACTGCATTTCCCAGCTGCAGTTGAAGATGATTGCAGTTGCAAAGATTTAAACTAATGGGAACTGTAGAAACTATTTTTTAATGTTTTATTTTTTTATTTGTCATAGTAAGATCAAGCCACATTAAACCCAAGGTAATAGGATTTTCACTTACTGGGATTTAACAATTTTCGTAATTTGGGAGATGGTAGGATGATGTCATTACTTCTCAGTGTGCTAATTATTAGTTTTTTGACATGTTTTGATGTATGCTCAAAACATTTAACATGTTAGATTTTAATATGATTTTCAGTATTTTTCAAATTTAGACATTAAGGCATTTTAAATATCTGTTCTAATCAAAATATCTTAGAATTATTATTAATTGATACTGCTTTTTACACAGGAGAATACAAAGTTATACCTCAATTTACTTGAAATGGAATATAGTGGTGACCTCAAACAAAATGAAGAAAATATCCTAAATTGTTTTGACAGAGCTATACATGGTTCATTACCTATTAAAATGAGAATTACATTTTCTCAGAGAAAAGTGGAATTTCTTGAAGATTTTGGTTCAGATGTTAATAAGTAAGATCTTAATTATATATTATTTATTTATTTGCATAGTCAATGAGCATTGATAATTTTGGTTGGGAGTTTGATGATTAGTACAAATTACTATATTGTTAAATTTAAAATGTTTGCCTAGGTTACTTTTTCCTCATATATATGGAGGGTAAACTCAATTTTGCAAATGTGTATGTATTTAACAGGAGGATAGATGGTTTGTCTTTCCTTCAAAATTGTTTTCAAAATTTTAGCATGGTAATGCAAGCAATGAGTGAAGGCAGGAATCAGCAATCCCATGAAAAAGAAATGGGTCAAGGATTGAACCCTAAAACACAGAAATAGAATATAGGCCACTAAAAGTGGATGGGTTTAATCTGAAATAGGGATGCCGTTTTATCTCTGATTGGAGAAAATGGATATGGTTGCACACATCATGCCTAATGGACTCAATTTAAAGCATTGTAAGAAGCTGAAAGTTGAGGGTGATGGAAGGATTCACTCTAAGGCATTTGGGAAAAGGAGAAGTTTAGGATTTATATTTGCAAAAATAGAAGAGTAGAAGTACTGGTAAGAGTGTGGCTGCTGTTCCATTCTTAACTGATTGTAGTGGGGAACTATCCCACTCATTAGTAGGCATGTCCCTTTTTTCCTTTGAAAGAACCGTTGATAAAATGAGGATTTATGTGTCTTTATATATGTGTGTATATATTTTTGATGGTTGTGTAAAATTTTAGTTAAAATAAACATCTTAACAAGTTAATTTTTTTTTAAAAGATTTTATTTATTTGACAGACAGAGATCACAAGTAGGCAGAGAGGCAGGCAGAGAGAGAGGGGGAAGCAGGCTCACTGCTGAGCAGAGAGCCCGATGCGGGGCTCGATCCCAGGACCCTGGGATCATGACCTGAGCTGAAGGCAGAGGCTTTAACCCACTGAGCCACCCAGGTGCCCCAAACATAAGTTAATTTTTAATACAATCGTATGTATGTGCTTGACACATTAAATGTGTTTTATGAATTATCTAATGTAAAATATGTAAGCCTAATGAAAAAGGTGTAGGTACTGTTTTTTGTTGTTGTTGTTGGTACTGTTGTTCTTTTAATAGATGAAGAGAGGCTTAAAGAGATTAATAGTGTTTGCAAAGGTCAGTTAGCTATTATTTCATTGTGCAACTGGGAATAGAACTTGCTTCAAAGTCCGTGCCTCTAACCACATGTGCTGTATATTTAGTGTCTTCTGTTTATTTTGTACTGAAGAAAGTGCACAAAAGAAATGGGATATTTAATTCCAGGTTTTAGTCTAGTGGATGGTATGATGATCAGAGATCATCATATGTAAGTATCTGAGGTGGCACAAAACCGTTAAAGAAGGCTCTGATTTCTGTGGATCAGAATGGATTTGTCATCCTTCGCAGAGGAGATGGGGCTTCATTTAGGTACTCCTGGATTCTGACAAGGAAAGGATAAAGTGGTCGAAGAAAAGTTCATTTAAAAATAACATCTGCTTTATTGGAGGGCTTTTGAAGTAGTAGAAATGTGATATTGATTGTGCTGTGCATTGAACACTGGGCTGGGTTAGAGCGCATGCAGTACCACAAATGACAGTAGGAAGCTGTTAGAGTTTTGACTGAGATTATGTGATATATTTGAATTCGGCAATAGTATGTGGACAAATCTGAGGCTCGACATAAAGATGCCAGTTAGGCCCTTGCAAATATAGTTATAGAGGGTCTGAATGTCAGGTCTAAGATTATTGTAGTTGAAATTTAAAAAGGGAATGATTAAAAAATAAATGAGCTTAAAAATTAGAAACTTAGAAATTTAGGTAGCAGTATAAGGTATTGGTAAGAATTGATGTTTAATTCAGACAATATATGCTTAAGTCTTAGCTTAGTCACTTTACCATTTGTGTATTCCTCAGTTTTCAAATTTTCTCATGATTGAATCTCTTATCACCTAATCCACAGGTTGTTAAAAGTCTTAAAAGAACTTAGTCCATTTAAAGTGTTTGATGTTGAGTAAACCCCCAACCAGAGATTGCTGGTATTAACAATTTTATAGCCTCTTGAACATTTTGGGATCAGAGTTACAGATTATCATTAGATGTGTATGTATGTATGTGTGTGTGTGTGTGTATGGTGTGTATGTATATATATACATACACACACACATATATATATGTATATATATATATACACATATATATATATGCAGGCTTCCCAGGGAAGTTCTGTATGCATGTAAAGTATATAAGGTCATTTATACAGAAATATTATCTGTGTTCAGGTTTATGATTACTTAAAAAAGGTCGTTTGTCTTTATTAAAAAAAAAATTGAGAAAATGGTAAAAGGAAAATAAAATCTTTAGGATTTTTACAGTCAGTTTGGCTTCAGTTGACACTGTTTTTGAAGTTCTGAGTTCCAGGTGAGATAATGCACATATCAATGTTAGAATTTTTTTATTAAAAATTATCTTCAAAAAATTTTGAGAGAGTACACGTGCAAGCAGTGGGGAGGGGCAGAGGGAGAGGGCGAGAGAGTCTTAAGCAGACTCTCCATAAGTGCAGAGCTCAGCACGGGCATGATCTCATAACCCAGAGATCATGACCTGAGTGAAACCAAGAGTTGGATGCTTACCCAACTGTGCCATGCAGGCACCTCCTAAAAAACTACCTTTTTAATCAATGATAACAGATTGTAGTTCTGTATTAGTTCTTTTTTTAAAGATTTTATTTATTTGAGAGTGCAGAGAGAGCGAGCAAGCACAAGCAGGGTGTTGGGAGAGGGCAAGAGAGAGAGAAGCTAGCTCCCTACTGAGCAGGGATCCTGATGCGGTATTCGATCCCAGGATGCTTGGGATCATGACCCAAGCCAAAGGCAGACTCTTAACTGGCTGACCCATCCAGGCACCCCTGTAGTTTTGTATTAGTTTTAATTCAATTTATCACATGGCCAACGTTTAAATATAATTTATCCTAACTGGTGTCAGGTATCTTAATAAGCACTGTTAAATTAGATCTGAAAGTATATAAATTACAGAATGGTCAGGACTCATTCTTTGCACTGACAAAAACACACCCTCAAAATCAGTGTCTTAGTTGTGTAGTAAATTTCTTTGGTGGGCTCTCTGTGTTAGTAATGATAAAGGAAGCTCTTGACCAATATCTCATCACTTTCAGCCAACTGTAGTACAGAGAACAGGCATTTTTTTTTTTAAGATTTTATTTATTTATTTGATAGAGATAATGAGTAGGCAGAGAGGCAGGCAGGCAGAGGAGGAAGCAGGCTCCCCGCCAAGCAGAGAGCCGATGTGGGGTTCGATCCCAGGACCCTGGGATTATGACCTGAGCCGAAGGCAGAGGCTTTAACCTGCTGAGCCACCCAGGCGCCCCCAGGCATTTTTCTAATAGCTCAAGAATCCCAGGACTTACTAAACATCTTGATTTGGGTCATATTGGTCAGGAGATATACTGTAATTGACCAGTCCTGAATCCCTGAAGCCCATTTGAATCACATGGGCTGAGAAGCAAAGCAGAGAGTAATGGTTTCCCAAAGGAAATACATTGGAAAAGGTAGCTGGGAAGTTTGCTAATATTGATTCAGTGGATATTCATGGCAACATATTTTTGTTTCCAAGTGGAAGTAAGTCCAAAACTTAATAAATTTAAGTTTGGTTTTTGTGTATTCCAGAGGATTTTTTTTTTTCCCCTCCTTCCCTCTCAGGCTTCTCAATGCTTATGATGAACATCAAACACTCCTAAAAGAACAGGATTCTTTAAAAAGGAAAGCAGAAAATGGGTATGTAATGAAGGGATGCTTAAAAGAAGACATTTCATTGTGGAAATGCCTTTAAAGATAAATATTTTTACATGTTACCTTCATGTTGTGGTAGTTTAATACTTTATATTCATGATTTTAAAAAATCATACAAAAGTGAGTGGTTAAAAACTTAAATAAATGTACATGGGTACAAATGTACACATTCATCCATTGTTTTAAAAGTACTTACCTGTGGGAATTTTGAAAGTTTCTATTTTGTCCTTTTATTTAGATCAGAAGAACCAGAGGAAAAGAAAGTTCACACAGAAGATACAACTTCATCATCTACACAGATGATTGATGGTGATTTACAGGCAAATCAAGCTGCATATAATTATAGTGCCTGGTATCAAGTGAGTTCACATAAGTTAATCTTTTGTTCATGGATGTTAGTTAGAAAAGCGTAAGTTAGGATAGGTTTTTCTTTTTTTTAAACAACTTCTACTCCAGACTGTATAATAAGTTATTTTTTGTGGTTAGGTCTTAGAATTGTTAGCAGTGAACACATGCCTTTTTTCTTAAATATATCTACTTTTATAAATGGAATCAGCCAGTTCTAGCATGCTAACATGTGTGCTTTTTCCTTTCAGTACAATTATCAGAATCCTTGGAATTATGGACAGTATTACCCTCCCCCTCCAACCTGATGAGAAAATATATCAGATGGAATGTGTGAAAAATACGAAAATTATTTTTTTTTAATGAGGGATGTAAACATAACATAAACTTGTTGTATTTGATAACTTGTCTTCCTGTTTCTGTGTAACATGATTTGTTTAGTAATAGGGGAAAATGTCACTTAGTAGTTTACCACAGATATTTCCTACCATTTATAAAATTTACTTTTTATTGGAGAACTATTTTTTTGATTTTTGCATTAAGTGGTCTAGAATTCTTTTGCAATGCATTCGCAACAGTTTTGTAGCCTTAAGGGTAGGAAAAAAGAAAAAAAACTGACTGTAAATCATGTCAGTATAGTACAAGATTCTGAAAATCCATAAGGGCTGGTTATTAAGGATTTACCTCTGTAAAAAAAAAAAATGGATTTTTAACCTTTGATGACAAGGTTTTGTCTGTTTCAATTATCCTTGTAAATTTGGATTTAACTGCCAGAAAAGATACACTATTAAATACTATGTCTTGGGATAGAGATTATAAATGAAAAATGGAATGTTTGCATCCCTTTTTAAAAAATGAGAATCGTATCAAAAGTATGTTGTTTCAGGAGACTTTGTATTTAGAATATTCATATAAAACTTGTGAGCAAGCTTTCATTTTGATCAAACTGATCATCTTCATTTTTGTAATAAAACTGAAGACTCCTCAACAAATTGTTATGAATTTATTGGGGGGGGGCTGGATCACCTAGCAGTATTAACTTTATTCATTATTAGTGATTCATTGGTTTTGAAGTATACTTTTCTTGAATTTAGTTATCTTCTTGCCAGAATTAGACCATTTAGCTGTTTTTGCTTCCTCAGTTTCTGTGCTTGTCTTCTCACTATACAGGGCTGCTACTTTTAAAATTTTAAGAGGAGGGGCGTCTGGGTGGCTCAGTTGGGCATCCGACTCTTGGTTTCCACTTAAGTTGTGATCTCAGCATTGGGAGATTGAGCCCTCTGTCAGGCTCCAAGCTCAGTGGGGAGTTGGCTCCAGATTCTCTTCCTCTTCTCTGCTCCTCGCTCTCCCCTCCCCCAGCTCATGCATATGCACTCTTTCTAAAATAAAGTCTTAAAAGCTCTTTAGAAAAAGAGAAAAGATTTTAAGAGGAATGTCCCTGGCAAAGCTGTCTAGATAATTTTACTACAACTCCTTGTTCTGATTAAGCCTTAGCTGTGGTTAAGCTCATCAGAACATTTATATGTTAACACCAAACAAATGCAAGACACTGAATATGTTTTTATTGAGCCTTTTAGTTTACAACATGAGGTAAAGGAAAGTCATTTCTCCTTAACCGGTATTTTACATAGCTGTAGTAAAATATTTCGAACTTTAGGGAATTATAATGGATTACATATATTAAAAGTTGGGGATTGGGTAAACAATATCTGAGCTCTTGAATTTTCCAGTTGACTCTTCCCTTACAATAGTAACCAGCTCTAATTAGTTAGTTACATAAGTTTCTTCAAGGCAATGTTTTATTGTTGCTGATGTCATTATATCTGAAGCATTTCTGGCTATTTCAGTCAATATCCACTAATTCTACTTCAAAAATGAGTTTTGCATTTGGTGGAATTCTGTTGAAGAAGTCAAGGTAAATTTGATAAAAGTTACTTCTTCCTCATTCCCAATAACCTCAGTCTAAAATTAGAATTATATATAATGGATATTGGATATTAACCCCAAAGAGAAGAGCTTTATGACTGATGGAGGTGCTAGTACATATTAGCTTAGTGGTTGCTAAAAATATCTTTGTGAATGGTGATTATAACCTATCAGTACAGACCGACTAGGTAGGTTGAGCTTGGACTTGGATATTCCTTTCTTGGGTGCTTCATCAGTACTCCCAATTTAGCCACCACCTAAGCTACTACCTAAGCTACTCTGTGCTTACCCCCCCCCCAAAAAAAAATTTCTAGCTAGTTGGGTATATAAGTTATATTAAATCAAAGTTCATATAGCTAATGCCTGATATTTGCTATGAATTTTAAGATGCTGAATTCAGAGAAGTGTGAATTTTATTTGATTGGTTTTGAGATGCTTCACATGAGAGGGGGAGCTGTAGTTGGGCCATCTAGTTTTGATAGGTTTAGAAGAGGATTATTATATTCCCAAATAATCTTAACTGATAAAATTGGAGAGGCCTTCCAAATTTTTTAAAACTTACTTTAACTGATCCAACTAGTCCAATGGGAATGGAACTAACAACAAAAAACTACCTTCTAACTTAATTATTGGATTGTTCTGGTTGACATGGTCAGGAGGCATGGCTTTTGAATTTTCACAAACAAGGCCTATCAGAAAAGTATTATCATTAGTAGTAATCACAGACGCTTACACATTGTTGGACCCATGGTCTCAACTTCACAACTGGTAATCCTCAATATGTGTTCCATTTCTAAGCTTTGAGTACCCATTAATTGCCTGAAATTATACTGTAGCATAAAATTACCGTGAGCCATACTTGTATCCTGTAACTTGCTTCAGTTGTTTGTACTCGACATCTTAACTCCTTTAAGTAAACCCTTCATACAGTAACAACTGCCTTTCAAAGATGAAAACTTAAAACCTCATAGTTTACCTCTAAAAATAGAAAACTTGAGTTCAAGAGGAAAAAAAAAGTAAGAATCTATTCTAGCTCAAGTTTGCACACTTTTTCTCAATGAAAAATATTAATTCCTGTCCATATTGAAGGTGCTGATACAGAAGCATCTAGATATCAGGAATACTAGTCTGGACATGATTCCTGTTCTCCAAGTTAACCTAGACAATATCTTTTATACATTCAGGTGGTCTTTCTTCGTGTTTTTTTCTTTATTCACAAAGGAAAAAAGGATACTTGGCATCAGGCTGTCCTTTCTTTCCATAAGCCCATTCTGGTTCAATCTCTAGTCGAGCCTTTTCTCCTTTACTCATAGTTAAGAGTGCTTCATCCCACTAAAGGCAAAACATGAAATAAAAACTAATGACAATTGAAAAAAAATTCATGAAAATCTAGAAGGCTGAATATACCAAAAAGCATTGTTACTGGATTTTACTATATTGTAAGGCAACGTCCTTGGGTGAATCTTTGTCTTTTATTTCCTCAATGAAAAAAAAAAAAAAGATACGTTAAACAATTTTTAGTGCAATATATGCTTCAAATGCTACAGTGTAAACTTTTTAAAATGTTAACTATCTTAAGTTATGGAAACCAGTTTATTAGTAATATAAAAAACTTGATACACGTGATATATCCCAGGGCAAACTTCTGACTTTATATTAGAGGGATAAACTAAAAACAGAATCGTCTTAAGATCACTAGATTGTGGAGTCAGGATGGCACATACAAGATAAACTACATGTTATGGCACTGACCTTCTGTAGAAGGTAAAACTATTCAAAGAAATGATACAGGTTTTTGTGTTGCCATTCCATGAAAACATATATATATATGTAACTTTTAAGTAAACTGTACCCCTAACATGGGGCTTGAACTCACAAGCCCCAGATAAGTCACATGCTTTACCGACTGAGACAACCATATGCCCTGGATCTTAAAGGAAGTTACTAAAAACAGTTAAATCTACAAGATGCAAAGGTAGATATGACAGATCATATACTCTGATAAAACTCAAGGGATAGAGATCTGTTATATGATGGAAATTAATACGGTTCCCTAGAAGAAATACACAAGCAAATTAGTCATGGGAGCAACTGATTAGCTTGGTATACAGTTATTATCAATTTGGTATAATCAGGTAGCAGTTAGGATTATTTTCAACTAAACCTTTAGTTTTAAGATGTTTGAGCTGTTTTTTAGGACTTACCCACAATAAAAAGAATAACATGGAGGGTTCTCAGTGCATTTAACAGGCATTTCAGTTATAATGTTTGATGTTGTGAATAAAGACATTTTAATAATAAATGGGCCCTGGAGTAACAACTTGATTCAGTGAAGCCAGTAATGAGCCCTGCTCTATTACCTCCTTTCGTACACTGCATTGGTCAGTACAACTCAATCCTACCTTCCCCCTTTTCTCAAAGCGTCCTTCTATTATCTCTCCATGTAAGTAAGGGTAGCCAAAAAAAGCATGCTTATATTTGAAAGATTTTCCAGTGTTTGAGTCCCGGTTGTGAGAGGTGAAAAGGCCCAGAACAAACTTTTTGCTTCTATATTAAGTACTTCAGTGAAACAGGTATTTTACCTTTCTCTTTGATGTGAAAGTGGTACAACAACCTATGTAACATTTTATAAGAGTCTTAAAGATAAATTTAGAAAGCCAAACTTTCTGATGAAGAATTTATGATGAAAAGTAAAAGGGGCAGGCATAAAGAAAATAATACTTGAGTCTCATTATATTATGCATTGTAGTTATGCTCATTTAATTGTTCAGCAACCTTGAGGAAGACTGTAGTGTCCGTAACTGAGACCCAGAAAACTTGGGCCAGATCAGTTAGCAATGACAGCACCTGATTTGTCAGACTCCAAAGACTGTTCATCATATCCCCAATCCTAATTATGGCACCATACCACATGCAGCATGTGCCAAAATATCTAATGATTCATTGCCATTTTTACTTACTCCTCTGATAACTTTGCCTATTCCGACCTTAAAACTTAAAGGCTTGGCATTTTTCTTCTTCTTTGAACCTGTAAAACAAAATTTTCTTATAGTGCATGATGAAATTAAATTCCAATGGAAAAACATAATGATTTAAGTCTTTAATTTTAGAACTTAACATATTATGCATTTGAAAAGAAATAAAGATTCAGAAAGCTAATGCACCAAGAAAATTCTGTATGTAAAAATAGTTATGGTCTAAAAGGAGGGAGAGAATAAGGACCTATATTTACACTACTAAAACAGCACTCTGTTCTGCCTTTTACATTAAATATGAAAGCCTCAACTTTGGGATATTAACCAAGTTTCGACTAAGCTTATTTTTTGCTTCCCAATGACCAAGAAGTATTTATTCACCCGGCCAATAAATAGTGAACTGAAGACCTCTGAGTCCAAGTAAATCACAGGTGCAAAAGACTTCTGGAAAAAAGTGACAGCCAAGAGAAAGTGCAGCCAACTGTTCATGTACCACACACATATTTTGCAATGCCGTAAAGCTAGAAAGGTAAGATTACATTTAGACTTACTCGTTTGAATATTAGTATCAAAAACAGTCCCATCCTGTAGTGTTCCTGTATACCAGCAGTGAACAACATCACCCTTTTTGGGAAAGTTGGTTTTATCTCCTTTTTTAAGAACAGATTTTATATATTTTGGTGGACCCTAAAAACAAACAAAACACAGTTAACTCACATCCTTCTTTTAGAAGGATGACAAAGAGAAGGATGACAAAGAGAATTCTTATAGCCAATTATGACCCAAGTCTGGTCACAAAGTTTCACAGATTTGGTAACTATTTACCTCTGAGTTTAAAAAAAAAAAAAAAACTCACTATCTACTTGCAAGTCTGTGGCAATATTAATAAACAGCCTATCTATAATTTCAAGTAACTTCCAGCTACCTTGGAAACCAATGTTCTTTTGACAAAATTCTATTATTCAACAAACCATAAAATAAATCCCATTATTTTCCAAGGTTAGAAATATCATTACTGGGGCACCTGGGTGGCTCAGTGGGTTAAAGCCTCTGCCTTCAGCTCAGGTCATGATCCCAGGGTCCTGGGATCG